CTACCACTACTCCAACCACTACCACTACCACCACCACTCCTACTACTACATCTACCACTTCTTCCACTACGACCACAACAACTCAAACGACGACTACGACCACGACCACAACACCCAGACCCACGACTCGAACCACTGAAAGGACGACAACGACCCCGAAGATGGAGGAAATTCGCTTTTTACCAGATATGCCACAGCAACGGCTCGATTCTGAAGAGGAAACCAGTACCAGAAGGCCAACAACTACAACTTCTACTAGAGCGACAACTGCGACCAGTACGGCACCCAGGACCACCACTTCAGCCTCAGCCGAGCGAAGAGTACCAGTGCTTGAAAGAGCTCGGGAGATTGAGCCAGCTAGGGCGGAAAAATCTAAATTTATCTCGGCTGCGCAGAAAAATGACGATGTGCCCGATCGTGCAGTGTCTGAGAGCGAAAGCAGCACTCAGGCCAACGGCGACAAGAGATCTTCTCCATCATTGATTACTGTGTATGAAGTAACGACGTCAGCTGTGAAAAATAGAGAGGTACGTAAGTCATTTTGTTTCTGAGGAGAGGGGAGTGGTAAAGCGAGACAGAAATTGTCCTGATGTAGATCGCTAAAAACCGAAGAATTTCAAAACCCTCCATAATCTCCTGGAGGCCCCCCGAAATTTGCACGGGCTTATAATCTCACAATAAATTTTGAAATACTTTGAATCTTTTAGGATTTTGAGAATCACCTTTTTTCAAGATCTGAAGTTCCTGTAGGCCATATACTAGGGTCAGTCAGAGTAACGAAAACTTCGCATCTCCTCTTAGACCTAATCTCAAATTGTACAGAATATAGACAGGCAAGTGCTCTAAACGGTTTCCAACATAGCTTTTCTTCCTCTTTCCCTCTCAATTGTTGCAATATTTGCATTTTTGGACCCAAAGCGTTTACCGTTCGAATTCTGTGTTTTTTCAGACGTCTTAAAAAATCCTGAAATATAGTAATTTGAAGTTGTAAATGCCTCATTATTTGCACAGAATCAATGTTTGATAATAAACTATTTTTAAAGCTCCCCAGTTAGAAAAATTTTGCAGGGTGCTGCATTTTTGTTTTGAGCGATTTTTTGAAAATTTAGGGATTTTATGAAAATGATTTTGAAAAATCCTGATGAACCAAATGGGGTTTTCGAAAGGCCTAAGAAGTGGTTTGCATTGAGCAAGACCTGCCTTGTCTTTTATGTAATTGAATTTGTTTCATACGGAAAATTTTGAGGGTTAGCTAAACTCATCCAGAGCAAAAAGGACGTTTCAAAATCTGAGAAAACTCTTCAACGACTAAGAAGTCAATAGGCCATTGCCCTGCTGCTGAAAAGAGAATGAAAAGTTACGTTTACAGTTGAGGACTCTTGTATTACTGTTCTACAATTTTTGCTGAAAGTTCGAAATGAAGAGCGAAAAGTTCTTATTACTTTTGACTCAACCTCTATTTTCACGAGTCCCATCCTCTCGATGTGCCAGCTTGATAAAAGTATTTTAGATACACGAAACTTATAAGCCACCTGTACCGTGGTGGGTTGCCGTTGCTGTTGGTTTCATTGTGTCAGTAGTAATCGCTTGGGCTGTCGTAATTCTGCTGCGAAAGTGAGTTTTTT